GTCAGTCAGTCAGTCAGTTAGACGCAACGTAGAACTTCGTATGTAAGTACATCAGTTTATGTTGCCATACCACATCAGCACACACAGAGATATAATTGTCAATGCGAATCCTAGAGTAGATGAGGTAGTAAAGGTACTGGAAGTAATCGAAGAGGTTAGGATTAGATGATATTATTCAAGAAGTATGATTCAGTGAGAAAAGTTTAGAAAGTCAAAACTAGAGGGGTTGAAGAATCCAGAAGATTAGGATTTGAGAGAACACAAAGAATAAATGCACTGGCGCCATTGCAAACGATTTTGAGCCATGTCAGTCAAGGTCTCTAGTCATCGATTATTATCATCTCGCGGACCCCAACCAGGTAGTCGACAATTACCGACATGGCTAAGTCCACTCGTCAATGACTTCATGGATTTATGCCATGTTTTGGTTTGGCCGCCCCTAACTTTCTTCCAACCTATTCCTACACTACAAAACAAAGCTCGACGAGGCAGTCGGTGGTTAGGCGTACGCAACACATGTCCCAACTACCTCAACTGATGAAGTTTCATTACTTCATCTGTTGATCTGCCATTCTTACCTAGCACCCGATTCCTAATAACAGCGTTGCTCACTCGGGTGTCCCACGATATACGAGTAATGCTTCGAAGACACCTATGATCGAAAACCAGTAACCTACGAATATCTTCTACTCATTAATGGATAACAGACTGAAGTAAGTTAATTAAGTAAACAATATTATTTATTCAATACTTACATGAAATATATTCATACAATGTCCAGTACGATAATTCCATAGTTGTTCACCAGTAATCCAATTTGTGACAACAACTTTTAAATCATCTGAACCAGAAGCAATTAAATTTCCTTTTGAATTAAAATTCAAAGCATTAACACAACCACGATGACACTTTATGAATATAAAGAAAAGAGGCAGAAATAATAATTGAAGAGTAAAAAGACAGAAAGAACAATAAATACATATATGTAAATCAATATATTGATTGATAAAAGTTTACTGATTTTACTTAGTTATTTGAAACAAAATACTATTAAGTACAAGTTGGTACCCAAAAATATATATGTGCATCATACTTTTACTAACTCTATTACTATGAGATTTGAAGTGACCATTGCATCTCTGTGCTCGTGTGGTATCAACCTGAACTAATAATGTACGTACGTACGTACGAAGTTGTACGTTGTTGCTGTTGATTGATTGATCGATTGATGAAAAATGATGTTGCGAAGAGAGATAAGGAAAGAACAGTGAGTATATAACACTCAGTCAGTCAGTCAGTTACACCGAAGAACTTCGTACGTATGTCTGATAACGTTTAAAGCCATTGAGTGGTACTGTGGTGCGAGCTACTTATAAGTAGTATATGACGTGAGTGTCAACGTAATGTCTGGAAGCAGAAGATGGAGGAAGAGTTAGAAAACAATGGAATTTGTATAAAACACATGAATAGTGACAATGGATTGATGTTTGCAACAGGAACAGTCCCCCGACCTTGGCTGCTACGTTGACGCGGTGATTGGGCTTGTCTATTGTGATGACCCAACTGAGCTATATTGGATGGAACACATGTTCCCGTAGGTTCTACCATGCCAGGCAGGTCGATTGCAAAACGATGAGACTAAAAGCAGCTACTCAAGGTCTGAGGGCGAAGACATACTGCTGACTGCAGAGGGGTGTGACAGCAGTAAGGTGTTTCCCTCGGACAACCAGCATCTGCAGCGATGCTGCCTTCTCACAAGGAAGGAAGGGTTAGAAAAGGTCGGCCCTAAAAATGTCACACCTCCCCTACCTCACGGATTTCCGTCTCCTTGGGTAAGGGTGCCCACTAAGGGCCTTTAAGAGCGGAGCTAATACTCAGAAACCTTTCATAAAAAGGCCGTGCGTGACCGGCCTCAAGCAGTTGTCCCTTTGGCCCTGCGGCCACTCTCCCAGGTCTCTAAGACCAACACTAATCTATCTTCCTTTCCAGATTACTCAAGAAACACCCTTCCACGGTGTGGACAGCCGAGAAATGACAACCGCCCTCATACCCGTAACAGCACGCGAGACCGAATTGGTCGAAATCAAATCCTTCCTACACACACACATACCTCTCTTATCTCCACGACTAACTCTTCTCACATTCATTCATCACAGTGTACAGCTAATGCAGACGATACGAGTTCGCGAAACGTCGTTCCTGGTCTCCTTAAACCTCGCTCTAGACTACATGTTGGAGCATTTAATGTACGGACATTGTGTCAAATAGGGCAACAGGCATCATTAGCTAGGACTTTAGAATCTCGTGCCATCGATGTATTCTGCGTCTCGGAAACGCGCATACAGGATCCGAGTCACGTCATACACTTGGCCACACCATGTCAAAATAAAGAAGTAACTCGATTTACTCTTCGTGTATCCGGTAGCCCTGATGCTGCTTCCAGGGGTCTTGCTGGCGTAGGCATAGCATTGAGTCGTAGGGCAGAACAATCTCTCCTTGACTGGATCCCAGTAGATAGTCACTTGTGCGCCGTCCGACTAAACGGGACAGTAAGGACTCGGAAAGATAGGGACACTCGCCGTTGCCTCTTCATCGTATCTGCCTATGCCCCCACTGACTGCAGTGCAGACGAGGTTAAAGATGAGTTTTACAGAAAGCTTTCGGACCTCCTCCAAAAAGCTAGGCGCTCTGATATAGTAATAATGGCTGGTGACTTTAATGCTCAAGTAGGTAGACTAAGTGAGCAGGAGAGACACCTAGGTGGATCTTATGGTGTCACAAATCAAAGGACAGACAATAGTGACCGTCTGTTGCAAGCATGCTCAGACAACCGCCTATTCTTAGCAAACACTAACTTTAGGCATAAGGAAAAGCATCTATTGACCTGGCGACCTCCAAAGTCGTCTGAACGTTGGACTCAACTAGATCACATCGCCATCAGCCACCGATGGAGGGGTTCGATAGAAGACTGTCGCTCGTTCTGGGGCACATGCCTAGATTCAGATCATGCCCTAGTGCGAGCGCGTATTTGTTTGAAGCTTACTGGGCGTAGGAAAGACACCGTGAGAAAGCCTCTTAGGGTTTTACTAAATGATAATAAGGCGAAAAATATATTTCAGGAACAACTAGAAAGACAGTTAGGCGACCATTTAAGCGATTCCCATCCAGAAGCAGGATGGAATGATATCAAAAAGGCTGTGGAAACAGCAGTGATATCTGCAAGTAAGGTAAACCATAAGCCTAGGATGAAGCCGTGGATCTCAGTAGCATCCACCGATCTGATGGATGCCCGAAAACTCATCCCACCTGGCTCTGAACATGATGAAGAACGAAGTCAACTTAGGCGCAGACTTATAAAAAGCCTACGTAACGATCGCGAACAGTGGTGGGTGGCGAAAGCGAAAGCGATGGAAAAGGCAGCGGCGATCGGCAACAGTAGACAACTTTTCCGACTTATCAAGGAAACTGGTATTAGGAATCCTAGTGTCAGAAAATGACAGGACTCTCATTTATTCTCAATCCAGGAGACTGGATCGATGGGCAGAACACTTTAGGGATCAGTTCAACTGGCCTCGAGTCACTCTTCGGTTACCCACGATCTCCAGTCATCCTGAATGGCAAATCGATTTAAGTCCCCCTAGTCTTAATGAAGTTGAAAAAGCGTTAGGAAATCTGAAGCGAGGACGAGCTGCAGGTCCTGATAGACTGACCCCTGAGACAGTTTTAACAGTTAGACTGAACGAGATCTTAGGTAGAACCTGGGAAATGGACGTAATCCCATCTGACTGGTCTCAGTCGCTAATTGTCCCAATCTACAAGAAAGGACAGAAGTCCTCTTGTGACAATCACAGGGGAATAAGTCTAACTAATATAGTTTCTAAATTGTTAGCCTCGATTATACTTAGACGTCTAACTAGAGCTCGTGAAGAGCAGACTAGAGAAAACCAGTCTGGTTTTCGACCTGGACGTGGTTGTATAGACCACATCTTCACACTACGACAGGTCCTGGAACACAGACACACATTTAGACGTCCGACAATAGTCGTGTTCCTGGACCTAAAAGCGGCATTTGACTCAATGGATCGTGAGGTTCTGTGGCAGTGTTTGTCATTGGAAGGTGTACCAGAGAAGTACATTAACCTCATACAAGCTCTCTACTCGAACACCACTGGTCGAGTGAGAGCTTATGGCGAACTGTCATCGGAATTCTTTACTTCAAGTGGTGTCCGTCAGGGATGTCCACCTTCTCCATTCTTGTTTAATTTTATGATGGACATGCTCCTAGATATAACCTTATCCTCGTCTGAATTTTCTGGAGTAGACTTTCTACCAGGTGGCCCGCTTATTGACTTAGAATATGCCGATGACATTGTCCTACTTGGTGAAGAAGCTGACAAAATGCAGAGTCTTCTGACCACCCTAAGCAACAATGCAAGCATGTTCGGGATGCGGTTTTCCCCCTTGAAATGCAAAATGTTGTTTCAAGATTGGGTTGCATCGGCACCTGAACTAGTGATAGGGAGTGAAGTAGTCGAACGTGTAGACCGCTTCACCTATCTTGGGAGTCTCATCAGTGCTGATGGCCTGGTGACTGACGAAATCTCAACACGGATACAGAAGGCTCGATTGGCTTTTACCAACCTGCGTCACTTATGTCGTAGGCGAGATATCCGTTTGCTGACCAAAGGACGAGTGTACTGCGCAGTGGTTGGCTCCGTCTTACTTTATGGCTGTGAAACATGGCCAATGAGAGTAGAAGATACTCGTCGGTTATTGGTTTTCGATCATAGGTGTCTTCGACGCATTGTTCGTATATCGTGGGAAACCCGAGTGAGCAACGCTGTTATTAGGAAACGGGTGCTAGGTAAATCAGTCAGATGCAACGTAGAACTTCGTACGTATGTACATGGTGCGTGACCGCAGAGTCCAAGGGACAACTGCTTGAGGCCGGTCACGCACGGCCTTTTTATGAGAGGTATTTAGAGGATTAGCTCCGTTCTTAAAGGCCCTTAGTGGGCACCCTTACCCAAGGAGACGGAAATCCGTGAGGTAGGGGAGGTGTGACATTTTTAGGGCCGACCTTTTCTAACCCTTCCTTCCTTGTGAGAAGGCAGCATCGCTGCAGATGCTGGTTGTCCGAGGGAAACACATTACTGCTGTCACACCCCTCTGCAGTCAGCAGTACGACTTCGCCCTCAGACCTTGGGTAGCTGCTTTTAGTCTCATCGTTCTCCAATCGACCTGCCTGGCATGGTAGGACCTGCAGGAACATGTGTTCCATCCAGTATAGCTCGGTTGGGTCATCACGATAGGCAAGCCCGACCACCACGTCAAGGTAGCAGCTTCGGTCGGTGCTAGGTAAGAATGGCAGATCAATAGATGAAGTGCTGAAACTTCATCAGTTCAGGTGGTTGGGACATGTGCTGTGGATGCCTAACCACCGACTGCCTCGTCGAGCTTTGTTTTGTAGTGTAGGAGTAGGTTGGAAGAAAGTTAGGGGCGGCCAAGCCAAAACATAGCAGAAATCTATGAAGTCATTGACAAGTGGACTTAGCCATGTCGGTAATTGTCGACTACCTAGTTGGGGTCTGTGAGAAGATAGTAAGCGATGACTAGAGACCTTGAATGACATGGCTCAAAATCGTTCGCAATGGCGCCAGTGCATTTATTCTTTGTGTTCTCTCAAATCCTAATCTTCTGGGTTCTTCAACAACTCTAGTTTTTACTTTCTAAACTTATCTCATTGAATCATACTTCGTGAATAATATCTTCTAATTCTAACCTCTCCGATTACTTCTAGTACCTTTACTACCTCTTCTACTATTGGATTTGAATTGACAATTACATCTCTGTGTTCAAATGTGTTATGGCAACCTGAACTGATGTACTTACGTACCAAGTTCTACGT